TTTACACAATTTGAAAGAATTATTAGTTTCATATCATTTTTGTTAAATCTTATAGTACATTAATTTTTGAACGATTCACTACAGTAAACCGATTTGTTGTAAGAGAGGTAATATGGGGTGTTCGGTCAATTATGGACTGACCCACATGAAATTTGGTAGAGAGATTTTGATTCATATAACAATTGTTTGTGTAGAATATCGTTCTTATACAGGCTTTTTGAAGCCAATCATGAACTTAAGCCTTTATAGCGTGTAACATTTCTGTAACAAACCCAAAAATTGACTCTAAAATAGGTCCTAGGCACTTATTTTCGAATCAAATTAGTGAAGCACATTCATGAGATTCCACTTAACTGTTTTGTATGTAAGTATGTATGTATTTTAACATGATATGTGGCAAAACTATTCACTTATGCTAAATTGAATTTTCAGTTTTGATAAAAAGTTAAATTTTGTGTTCAAGCTAAATTGGTAAGATAATTTCGATTTTTAAAAATTTTATAAAAGGGGAAAAAAAGTTTCGTTGTTTTTATAAGATTTTGTAGACAATTTTGTGTAAATTTATTATTAATTAAAAAAAATAAACAATTTAAAATTTCTTGTATCATAAAAATCGATTTTAAAATCAATCAAAAAATCATTAATAAAACGCTAATAACAAAAAATTTTAAATTTCTGAGTAAAACGTATTTTACTATTTACCGAATTCTATCATGTCACAAAAAATCAAAAAGATTTCAGCTCTTGGACTATAAAGGGTTAAAGTTATTTTCTGAAGGGATTTATATGGGGGCCAGGGATAGCAAATTACATTTTAAAATTTTACAAAATTGCGTGAAAAATAGTACATTTTTGCTTCTAATTGTACCAAATCATAATTATTTTACTAAATTAATATTAAAGTGGGAGTGTCCTTAATCGAAACAAAAACATTTCAAGCTATACATAGGTTAGGTTGAGAGGAGGATGTATAATACATCAAATCCTAAGAAATACTCTTAGGTCACTATAGTACCTGTTGAGCTCTCCTTATCCGAAGTACAGAAACTCTGTTTCTAGATGGAGTTCTTTAAAATGTTCCAATCAGTGTGCGTGAGGGATGTTATATCTGCTCCCAAGATATTCAGCATAAAATTTTCCATAGAAAATTAGTCTGATCTGTGTAAAGCTATTTTACATGTATTTGGTCTAAAATGCAATAAAAATTTTTATATTGCATAAAACTTTAATAGATATTGCGGAAATACTAGATTTTTTCACATTTGAATGGACTCATACTACTTTCAAAAACAATAATTTTATAATTTTGCTAATTTATTATTTTTTCATACAAAAAGGAACTCATATCAATTAGCAAAAATTAAAATATATAGTTTTATTGTATTAGAAGAGTCTACTAAATTTTTCGAAAATTTCAACTTTTAGCAGAGATGCTGACAAAATCTCAGATGAGTGATTGGTGTACTACCATTGTACTTTTAAGCATCGAATTGTACCAAAAAGTACAATTGTGCCAACTTTGCCAACCCTGATGGGGGCTAACTGTGGCCCAATGATTACCATTCTTACAGCATAATTTCTTGGTACACAGAAAAAAGTTTCAGCATAAATATTATGAACTGCTTTCAAGCCTTTCAAGCCTTGACTTAAAATATTTCAAATTTAATTTTTATTTTTCTATTTGTTAAAAAATGTTTGAAATTTTCTTTGGAAAATTTTTTATTTCTTTATGATTTTTAGATTGAAATCGATGGGATGTGCACGTAATTTGCGGGATTTGATGAAGAATGGATGTTTAACTATGTTTGCTGATGTTTTCTTATTTCAGATTTTGTTTTTCAACATTTCTATTTAATTATCATACAAAATTTGCTAATATAGGATCACTATTTACAAGATATGGAAACAGATTTGTAGATAATGGACTTTTTTTGCAATTTTTTAAGAATATCATAGAAAATAAGTAAAAGCCAAAAAAATTCTGTCATGTTGAAATTCATACATTTTATGAACTCTTAATATTCTGAATGAAAATGGTTTGGGAAAAAAAGTCATGTTCGATTCATACTATTTATTACAAAATTCATTCCAGCTATGTATTATTTTTTTCTGTGTACATAAACCTAACTTGTGTAAAATTTTACCACGATTGCTTCATAATTAATATATGTGTGAGGGCTATGTAAAAATCGAAGTCCGATACTGCCCATTTTTAAAAGCAAACAGTGCACATTGGGGTCTCCTTTAAGTAAACTTGGCAAAAAGTCAATATTTAAAAATTATTTTTTTGCAAAAAATATAGCGTATCTTAAAAGCCAAGACTTTGTTCTATATAACGCTATAATTAGTTTTTCGATTTTCCTTTTGTAGGCCTTTAGGCTGTGCATCAAAGTTTCGGTTTTTTATATATAATTTTTCATATTGTTTTTTTTTTTTAATTAATACCTTTACCTTTTTTATATAAAAAACTACCATTCCATAAATTTTCTTAAAATTTTAATTTTCAGTCCAAATATAATGTTGTTGTGTATGAAAAATTATATTTTAAATAACCATTACAAAATAGGATTCAATTACTCATTACTTATTAAAATGCCACTTTTCATATATATATTTATGTTTTTTTGCCATTTTTAAAGGAAAAAAGGTACTATTTGGCCGCTGATGGCCCCTCGGCAACCATATACATATGTAAGATACTATAATGTGTTCTTAATATCACCACATCTATATTTTTTGCCTCTATGGCATTTTTTATTTATTTTTCTAACACTCCATAAAACAAAAATGTTAAAACATTTGTATTTTATTTAAAAAAATCGAATTATTAAACACAAAATTAATTGATTTAAATAATTCTCCAATAGTTAACGAGTAACTAAAATTGATTTCACTAAACATTTCAAAGACTTTTTCATACGTTTTTACCATATATATATAGCTTTTTTGAAAGAAAAATTAAATAAAAATTCACAGAGATTTTGTACTTGACTGTGCAAGTACTTACCACAATCGCTTACAAGTAATTAGAAAAATAAGTCAATTTAAATTGTATGAACAAATTTATACAGCTCCGATAGCTTCACGAAGAAGATGACAAATGAATTAAAAAGTAGTTATATATCACATTATTAATAAGACGTTATTAGACTACTTCTATGTAAACAGGACTATATATATTAGTCATTGAAAACTATGTTAATAGGTAAGTGGTTACAACTGAAAGTCATTACCAAGTATTTGCTGGAATTATTAGTAATTTTTAGCGCTAATGATCCAAAAAATATGAGAATACATAGTGTATTTTTTGCGAAAATTTGCACTAAGTTCAAAGTTCTTTTTTAATATTTCAAATCTAGAAGCTCTCCCCTTTCTAACGCTACCAATCACTTGTATCAAAACTTTGTAGTTTAGTTAATGCCAAGATTTGTTCGGGGAGACCCCACTGTGCAGTGCCTATCAATGGAGAATACTTGTGACGAACATGTCAGTTTTTCATGAAAGAAATTGGGGAAAACTATGGGGATTTCAACTTAAAAATGGGGATTATTTGGGGACTTCAAGCTGAAGATTGGGGACATAAGTCAAAATTTTTCTGGCAACACTGTTCTGGCGTACTGTGGAATGGTAAAAAATATATTGAAAGTATGTATGTGAAAATAGACGCCGATACACGTAAACTTTAATTTTGGGTCGTATTATTTGGTGGCGTACTCCGATTTATCTATAGATCGTCTTTGAATCTAATAATCATGCAGAATATATGTACATTAGGGTAGCCCCAAAATGGAAGTTGCTGATGTTCCTACCTAAAATGAAAATTTGATTCATTCTAAGAAACCATTTCTCAAAATTTTTGTCCTGATGTCAATATTTGGTGAGCTGGATCAAAGGGTAAAAAGGTCCTTTTTAAAGGTTTTTATGATTTTTTCACATATATGCAAATTTAGTATCATAGTAAAGGATTTTGGGAGACGAAATCGCTTGTATGCAAATGAAAAACAAGTAAGAAATTATAGTCGGGCGATTTAGTTGCCATAATAAAGCATTTAAGTTGAATTGTACCTTGCCTTAGATATACATACTTAATCCGTTTATTGTTGAATAAAATTGTGGACATTTAAGTGAAATTTTGATGGGGGCTTTTCATAGGGGTTAGGGTCATATGAGAACCTATTATTAAGGAATTCGTGAGGGTCATCAAGTCTTGTATACAACTTGGTTTTTGCAGCTTTTTGTCGAGATATGAGTATATTAAACATAATTATGAACTTAAAAGCCCTATTCGGCGGGTTCAGTTGTATGGGGGCTAGGTGAAATAATGGACCGATGTAAACCATTTTCAACAGGCTTCGTCTACGATACCATGTGTAATTGGAAAAACTTCAATTACAATTAAAAATAATTGTAATTGGAAAAACTTCAATTACAAGTAATTGTAATTGGTAAAGCTTCAATTACAATTACTTCATATGTAATTGTAATTGAAAATGTAGTCATTACCCCCAACCCTGCAATACAGCGATTAAAGTAAGTAAAAACGAAATATAAAATTTTGCTTGTTCATATTTTATCACCAATGCACAGTGGTATTGAAATAAAAGAATGAGGAATATAATTCTGTAACTTCTAAATGGTTTGGCCGATTCAAATAATGAAGAGTTTCTACATATTGAGATCGGAACACAAACGAAGAAATAGGATCGTTTTAAAAATTTAACATACCCGAGGCGTCATATTTTCGTACCAGTGACATCGTCCCTGGTGGGCACATGAGGTCCAAATTCAAAACTTAAACTTGATAACACTTCCTCTTTACGCATAAACCGACAAACCGTTCAGAAGTTACACAATTATTTCTCTCTTTCTTTTATTTCTATACCACTGTGCAATACTTACAAGCAACTTTGGGGGTGAAAGGGTTAAAATGCAAGCTGTGAACGAATATAAGCTAAAAAATTTTACTTAAAACAATTAATTGTTAATAATCAGCATAAGAAGAAACAAGCAAAATGTCTACTGCGATATACTTTATAGTGATCGCTAAGTTCTTAATTTTTTACATTTTTCACATTTCTGCCTATGGTCATCTGTATACTTCAGATGCGAATAAAACATATTATATAGATTTTGAACGCAAGGTAATAAATCAATATAAATATCAATAGAAAAATAATTAAAATTGTATAATTTATTTCAAGTACTCGTGGTTTGAAGGTCAAATTTACTGCACTCAAATGGGTATGACTTTGGTAGAGTTAAATACACAAACGAAAAACTTGGAAGTGTATAGATTGATCAAACACGTGCAAAATCGGTATAATATTGAAGGAAGTTTTCTTTGGATTGGTGGTATTCTAGATCGATTTCCAAATAGACGATTCGCATGGTTATCAACTGGTGAATATTTTACATACACCGACTGGTATGGTGATAATCCAGATTACTATTACAATAATGAATTTTGTGTGGAATTGGAGATGAAAGAAAATTGGCGTTGGAGTGATGATTCGTGCATAACGAGAGGTGGTTTCATATGTGAACATAAAAAAGAAACTGAAATTCGACAAAAACTAGAAGAAAATTTACAAGAAGTGAATAAACAAAAGGTAGAAATACAAAAAGAATTGCAGAAGCAAAAAGATTTGCAACAGAGATATCAACAACAATTACAACAATCTCGAGAAGAAATAAATAATTTAATAAAACAAAATGATAATTTACAAAAGAATCTTAAGAAATTAGAAGATAATTTGCAAATCGAAATAAAAAAACAACAAAATTTAGAGCAAACTCCACAAAAACCAAATAGTGAATCAACAAATCCTTTTGAATCTTCACTATTATCAAATCACATCAAGGAAGCATTGCGGACAGACAAGGAATTGAAAGACAATTCAAATAAACTGATCAAAAGTGATGTACGAATTAATGGTGGAAATAATATTATCGTATATTATTCACCATACTATGGATTTTTAACAATTCGAAGTTTAACGATTCCAAACAGCCTAATTGATAGAGTTGTTATTCGTATAAAAATTATTCGATTTATCTGGAAAAATATGATTTTTCTTCGAAGGAATGAAAAATTTGAAATTTAGAATAAAGTATAATTCGAAAATTTTTTGTCGATTAATCGAATATTCGAATAATATTTTAAGGTTATTTTTTACGAATATTTTAGTAATAGTATTCAATAAAGAATTACATTAATATGTTGTAAAACAAATAATAAATCTAAAAATCTGTTATGATTGAAAGAATACTTTTACTACTTTTTTGAAATTTATAATTATTTAAGTTTTTCAATGTTTATTTTAAATGCTTTTAGATTTAAAAGTGATTTGGTTTTTAAGATTTGCAATAGGTGAAAGTGGTAAACATCAATTAATTGTCTTCTGTGTAACTATATTTATTTGTCATAGAGGGAAAAAAGTTCTATCTACATTATTCCGAAAAACCGATTAAATGAAATATAATATCGATAAACATGAAAAGTTTATATCTAAAATGTGTCCAAATTTTTGTCATTTATTATAATGACATTTTAAATTATCGTCATAGTTGGCCCAGTGGATCTATAACTACTAACTCATTGCTGGTGTAGTACACAGTTCAATTCGTAGGAATATATTTTTAATTGTACTTTTGTAGACCTAATTATCTATAATCGACATTAGCCATAACGATGGGTCTACAACATCCCGACATATAAAACAAACTACTTGTGTTCATTATACCCTACACCACTATAGTATTATGCGTTTGTGCTGATGTTTGTAACACCTAAAAATAATGGTGCTACACCCACCTTAAAGTATGCCAATCGGTTCAGAATCACTTTCTGAGTCAATTTAGCTATGTCCGTCTGTGTGTCCATGTAAACCTTGTGCGTACTCTACAGGTCGCAATTTTCAAGATAATTTGATTAAATTTGGCACATACGCTTATTTTAACGAAGCCTATTGATAATGGTTAAAATCGGTCCATACAGCCGTACCCCCGAATAGGACTTTTGAGCTCATAAATATGTAAAGTCTCCTTCAGAAAATGACTTGATTGTCAAAATTCACTTACAAACACTAATATCACGATGATATTCTGTATAAATAACTGATGTAGACGTAAATCTCTCTACCAAAATTTATAAATCAAATGGTCGGCCATGCCCGACTACAAATTCTTGTTGTTTAATTATGTAGAAGGAAGTCTCTAAATTGGAAAAATTCGCTGGACAAATAGCTATGTTTAAAGTACCCACAAATCATACTAAAAATCGGATAACAATTGACTCTAGCCTTGAAAAAATCGGCAAATTCTATAAAAATTAATAAATATACATGATAACTAGAAGATTTATAACCCTGTAGAGCCCCCAAAAGGGGGGGAGGAGTTTCTTTCAAAACAAGTGCAATCGTCATAGATGTCGAATTAATATCGATTTTGTAAATAGCGAAAGGGTTGTCATTCGAATAAAACTTATTTGTATAATCAAGGAATCTTTGTTTGTCTCGTTTCCAGATTATTCGCATAATGAATAAGTGTAAAAGGTTACGGCCGATGTGGCCAATAATCATGGCGAATACGGACAGATAAAACGAATACTAAGCAAAAAAATGTATATTAAGCCATCATATTGAACGCCAATATTATCAAAGTTCATATCTTAATTAAAGTCCATTTGTTACACCCACCTTAAATTATACCAATCGGCTTGGTATTATTTTCTGAGTCGATTAAACCATGTCCGTCCATATAATCATTCTAATCGAAGAACAGGTTGCAATTTTCAAGATAATTTGATGAAGTTTACATTATTTCACCTAGCCCCCATACAACAGGATGTCAACAGGAAAATAAGCAAAGCAATGAAACCAACACATATCCAAACATACGTTTTTTTTCAATAAGCAGTGTTGTTGTTGCTTTTTTATCAAATCAAACAATAAATTGTCTTTTATTATGGAATTTTCAGAGGTTGTCTCAGATTTTTGCTTATATCTCCGTTATTTATGGACGGATTTTGTCGAATTTCTAAGAAAACTTCTCGAAAGCATGTCTGACAGAATAATTCAAGTTTTGAATCCCGAAGATATCTGGGGTCTTCAGAAAATTGATTTCAACTCCGTTATCTATAAGGATCCAGAATATATACATTTTATATATTAATGGGTCGGAAAATTATATTGTGGAAGTTACAAATGGAATGACAAACTTATACACATACAAATGTATATCCTTCTCACGAAGTTGAAGGGTATCATAAATTTGAAATTAGTATTATTGCGGATGTTTAATGTGTTTGGTTTCAAAAATAAACCAAACCAGCGATAAAAGTAAGTATAAACCTATGTGGTCATATTTTATCACCAAAAAAAATGTAAACTCTAAATGGATATATCTTAAATTTTTTACTTAAAACAATTATTTGTTTATAATCAACGTAAGAAGAAACAAGTAAAATGTCTAAGGCGTTCTTCTTTATAGTGATCGTAAAGCTCTTAATTTTGAATATTATTCGAGCATCTGCCCTAGGCAATCTATATACCTCAGATGCGAATAAAACGTATTATATAGATTTTGAACGCAAGGTAATAAAATCTGAATACAACAGAAAATTTAGAACAACAATTTTAATTATATAAATTTTTCTTCAAGTACTCCTGGTTTGAGGGTCAAATTTATTGCACACAAATGAATATGACTTTGGTAGAGATAAAGACGAAAACAAAATCCCAGGAGTTGTATTCGTTGATTGAAAAAGTCCAAGAACAAAATAATATTGAAGGAGATTTTATTTGGATTGGCGGTATTCTAAATCGTTTTCCGACTAAACAATTCGTATGGCTATCAACGGGTGAAGATTTTACGTACACCAATTGGTATGATAATAATCCGGATTTCTTTTACGATAATGAATTTTGTGTTGAATTGGTGAGGGTCGAAAACTGGAGATGGAATGATGATTCCTGTATAACAAGAGGTGGTTTTATATGTGAATGTAAAGAAGAAGAAAATGAAATTCAGCAAGAAACAAACAAACAAGAAGTGGACAAGCAAAAGTTAAAAATACAAAAAGAATTGCAGGAACAAAAAGACTTGCAACAAAGACATCAAAAACAATTACAACAATCACAAGAACATGTGGAGAATTTATTAAAAGAAAATGATAACTTGCAAAAGGAACTTAAAAAATTGCAAGAAAATTTGCAAATTGAAATAAAAAAGCAACAAAATTTGCAGCAAATTTTACAAAAACCGAATAATCAATCGACAAACCCTTTTGAAACTTCACAATTACAAAATCACATCAGCAAGGCATTGAGACCAAGCAAAGAATTCAAAGACAATTCAAATCAATTGGTAAAAAGTGAAATACCAATTAATGGTGGAAATAATATTATCGTATATTATTCACCATACTATACGTTTTTTAATAATTCGAACTTTCACGATTCTACAAAGCCTAATTGACATTATATTATGTTACGTCAGAAGTAAATAACACAAATGTTTCGAATAAATAAAATTAATATTGTAAAACCTTATAGGATTTAAGATCTTATCAATAAAAAGTAATGGTCTGAACCATAGTTCAGAGGTTTAAAAAATGTTTTTAAAAGGGTTACAACAAGTAAGAAATTAGTTAAATTATTAAATTGCTTAAATATTTTCTGAAGGGGTCTTTATATGAGGGCTAGGGTCAAGTGAGTACCGAGTACCGGCAAGTATAAAACGTTGTGCCATTTTTGTCTAGATACTAGTAACTATATTAAACATAAGTATGAGTTCAAAAGCTATATTCAGGAGGTTCTGTAGTATAGGGGCTAGGTAAATTAGTGAACCGATCTTAACCATTTTCAATAGGCTTCGTCCCTGGTACAATAGAAAATCATGTACCAAATTTCATTGAATTATATTTAAAATTGTAGTTTAATTACAAGGTTTACATGGACGGACAGACATACATAGCTAAAACAATTCAGAAAATGATTCTATGCCGATTGATATACACTATAACATGGTTTTTTTATTCGAATAATTTTTAGAAATTAACATTTACAAAAATTACTTGTATAGAATAGCTGAGGAGACTCTGTATACGGCCTTAAGCTGGGCTCAATGTTAATCTAGATATCTGTCTTTTCACAAGAAAGACTTACATTTCTACGTATACTGAACCTTGTTTCCTAGGCAAGCAGATATCGGTGACAGACAAAGTTAAGTACTTAGGTATAATCCTTGACCGGAAATTAACATGGAGACATCACATAGAGGAAAGGATGCACAAGGCACATCGGTGCTGGGCGATATGATGGAGCACTATAGACATGAAATGGGGTCTTAGTCCTACTATGACAAATTGGCTTTATAAAACTGTAATTAGACCAATTCTAGCTTATGCATCAATAATCTGGTAGACTGCTTTGAACAAAAAGTTTAATATCAAACTACTACAGAGAGTTCAGCGTACATGTTGCTTGGGTATAAGTTGTGCCATGTGTACTACTTCAACCAAGGCTCTGGAAACGTTGCACAGTGGGGCAGAATGGAAATTTTTTGGAAATAAATCTGGCATTTCTAAACGGCTGATCCGATCGGGATAAAATTTGGCGTGAGCGTAGCCAAGGAGTATTCGAGTTTAAGTTTTGAAGATGAACCCTGCAGATGCCCCAGGGACGGCGCTGTGGCGGCTCAAAGTAGGGTACCTACGACATGTAAAATTTTTAAACTCGTGCCATTTTTTTGTTTTTCACCCAAATACAAAGATTTTTATATTTTGTGAAAGCGCTCGACGAGATCTTGAAAAAACATGCTTGGACATACTACTTACCTCTTATAATATCCGAGTTATAGGCATTTAAAAATTTAGTGATACAAAATTTACCATACCTTGGTCCGCCTTTTTTTGAATACCGGGCGTAATTTTGGACCAAATGGACTCAATTTTTTCTTGTTAGTTAGACAACAAAATTTCCAATAATATACAAAAAATTTCAGATCAATATCATTTACAGATCCAAAAATATACGTTTTTTAATTTAAAAATTCAAAAAATTTTAGATTTTTGGCGTTTTTTTGCCAAAAATGTGTCTTAACTCTTTTATTAATAAAATAAAATTTTTATTAAGAACATATAACAATTTTATAGTTTTCTAAAAGGTATCTTTACGCAGAACGCTTTAGCGTAAAATACTTGTCCTATTTTTTGAAAGTGTTGTCACTGCGTCCTTCCGAATATGACCTATTTTTTATCAAAACTTCAACTTTGGGCGACATGTTCTAAAATCCCAAAGCTGGGATCAGAAAACTAAAAGCAGTTTTGGAAACCTCAATATGTTTTCTATTTACTCCAAAAGTATTTTCCCAGCCCTAAAAGAAATGTGGACCCTATGGCCAAAAAAGTAAAAAATCCCATTTTTGGGATTTTCATTCCTATTTTTGGGAATTGCGGGATGCCCTTTGACCTTTTCAATTTTTTTTTGCATATTCATATTTGAAATGACAAATTTAACAAGCGTTGAAAATTTTATTGAGTTTTGTTCATAAATAAAGATTTTGTCATATATTACATATTTGTTTAATTTCTAAAACTATGATTTATATCAAAATTTTAATAGGATCGCAGATAGCTACAACAATTTAGTCCATATTTATCCCTTAATATCATTTTTTAGTTAGATATGGAAATTCTCGATCCTTTACAAAAAATTTCAAGCCAATATCTCAATTACATTCAAAAATATGTTCATTTAAACCTGTGTCCTTTAATTTCATCTTTTTCATATTTTAGTATTAAGTATGACAGAACATACATTTGGTGTTGAATAAAATATTTGGACAATTTTTAAAAATTATTTAGTTAATTATTTTATTATAATATTATATATAAAATAAAAAAAATTATAATTTTATTATGAGCCACGCACAACAACACCTAAATCACCCCACACAAATTACCTTTCCCGCCCACCGAAATATAAAACACAATTTAATACAATATCATCAGTTAGTATAATAGCTTTTTTTATTTGAACTGTTTATCTTAAACATAATACAATTAATTCTTACAACCTACTTATATAGTTAATTCCTAACACTACTTATTTTCTATAAAATAATCTGTCATATCGGTATACATATCCAGAAGGTAATATAAGTCCTTTAAATCTTCCTTGTTTTGAGATGATAGAGTTTCATAACAAATCCATCTTTTTCGCATAGTTGAAAGAACAGGATCAGAAGATAGAAGTAAACTATTAAAAATATCTTCATTCTGTGATTGCCTGGAGCATTTTCTTGAGCTGAATAGTTGAACATGCTTAAAATCTCGATTCCTCGCTTCCTGGGCTTCTTCTGTTAACTCTCCAAGTGGAAGAATATTCGATTCAATTATTATTTGACCATGACACAATACTTTGTGTACTGTTGGTGTTAGTTCCCTCCATGGATACAGAGATACAAGTAATTTAGAAATTTCAGATGTGTATTCCCCAAATCGATTTTCATTAATTTTATGTTTACTATTCAGTGCCATTAAAATAGTTTTAACTCTTCGAAGCAACTCCTTGTCGATTCCAATTATTTTTGAAGTAATTTCAAAATCACGAAAAAACCTTCTCGACGTATTACCGTCATTTGTACTACCGCAACTTGAAAGTGGTTTGTCGATGTTTAATCCCATCTGAACTTTAAATTCTTCTTGGATTCTGCTTTTTTCCGCAGCTCTCATTTCATTCAATTCTTCATTATTTTTTGTTGATTTAGTAGGATAGTTTGTTGTCAATATGTTTTCTATTTACTCCAAAAGTATTTTCCCAGCCCTAAAAGAAATGTGGACCCTATGGCCAAAAAAGTAAAAAATCCCATTTTTGGGATTTTCATTCCTATTTTTGGGAATTGCGGGATGCCCTTTGACCTTTTCAATTTTTTTTTTTGCATATTCATATTTGAAATGACAAATTTAACAAGCGTTGAAAATTTTATTGAGTTTTGTTCATAAATAAAGATTTTGTCATATATTACATATTTGTTTAATTTCTAAAACTATGATTTATATCAAAATTTTAATAGGATCGCAGATAGCTACAACAATTTAGTCCATATTTATCCCTTAATATCATTTTTTAGTTAGATATGGAAATTCTCGATCCTTTACAAAAAATTTCAAGCCAATATCTCAATTACATTCAAAAATATGTTCATTTAAACCTGTGTCCTTTAATTTCATCTTTTTCATATTTTAGTATTAAGTATGACAGAACATACATTTGGTGTTGAATAAAATATTTGGACAATTTTTAAAAATTATTTAGTTAATTATTTTATTATAATATTATATATAAAATAAAAAAAATTATAATTTTATTATGAGCCACGCACAACAACACCTAAATCACCCCACACAAATTACCTTTCCCGCCCACCGAAATATAAAACACAATTTAATACAATATCATCAGTTAGTATAATAGCTTTTTTTATTTGAACTGTTTATCTTAAACATAATACAATTAATTCTTACAACCTACTTATATAGTTAATTCCTAACACTACTTATTTTCTATAAAATAATCTGTCATATCGGTATACATATCGATACCCTATATTCAAAAAGTGCTAAATCAATAAAGTCTAGTTTTCAGGAAAGCAAAAAAACTATTTAATTCGTGAAATATTGCACTAAAAGAAAATATTTCTTCCATAATACGTTTTTAACATCCTTACTAATTCTTACCTATGAAAAAATTTTAATATTTTGCATATTTTAGCGACTTATTTAAGATAGCACTTTTTGGTCGACAAAAAAACAAATATTTGTTCTAAGTTAGCATGTTTTGTTCAAAGAATAGAACAAAAATTTCTTCTAATAATATGCGTTATTTTATAATTTTATGAAATGTTTTTTTTTTTTTAAAGGGATATAAGTCAAACCAGTAAGTCCAATAAGATGCATTTACACCATTTAAGTAGAAAAACTCATGGCATATCTGCTTGTTTACTATTCCTTATTCTCAGTACAAATATTTTAAATTATGAAAAGTTTTTGAATATAAAAAGTACCAATATTTTTTGAATAATACTCCATAATTTGCACATTTAAAGACTTTTTTATAATCAGAATTCTAAATTGAAACCATAGAATATTATAGATCTTAGTGTTATAAACGTTTTCTGAAATAACTTTACAATTTTCGGAAAAACATTATTTAAAGTATAAAACTGGCTTTATATACAAATATATAAAAATGATCATATCTTAAAAACTATACATTCAATTTATTAATCTTAACCTGTTTTGTGTTCAGCATGTCCATCTTGTTAATATACAAAATAAATTTTAAATAAATTTGAAGTTTTAAAAAATGTTGTAAAATTTGTATGGAAGTTAGCACTTATTTTCTTCAATAAAAATTTAACTTTGAGATAGCATATTAACAAAAATTGTTGTTAAAAGTGCAAAAATTGCTTTTTTGGTTTCAAATTTATACCAGACGTGGATCATGCATTGAGGAATCCTTTTGCATCAAAAACTTACTTTGCCCAAAATTGAGTTCGCACTTTTTGAATATAGGGTCACGATATCCAGAAGGTAATATAAGTCCTTTAA